ATTTGAAATTGAAGCAAATCGAGTCGTGGGAGACGGCTGCGTTGCATCGGACCACTTGTGCGATTCTCCTTCGTCACCAATCATCTCTTTATTAGCGACCCTCCTTCGAATTTCCTTCTACTACCGCCTGTTAATCGCGATTGATTCATCCTCATCGGAGCGATCGGAGAACAGAGGATTAAAGGAGTGCTCTTTGGTAGCCGGATTGTTGACTAGAAATTCTTCTTCCAATTCGATTGACAATTTTAGGGTTTTTTTCCTGTTTGTTCGCTGGGAAGAAGCGAAGGGGGAAGCTAGAAAAGGATTGTTCGATTTGAATGGAGACGGACAATGGGAAGGGGTTGATACTAGCTGTGGCGTCCAGTGTTTTCATTGGTTCTAGCTTCATCTTGAAGAAGAAAGGTCTCAAGCGAGCTGGTGCTAATGGAATCCGAGCAGGTCCTTTCTTTTCAAAAAACCCACCAATCTTAATATTGCCTTTCTTCTTTCACTTTTAGAGTTTTGCTTGCTGCTGCTGCTTTATACTGCTACTTGCTATCAAATTTCTTCTCGATGTATTGTTTAGTTTTGCTTTATGCTGAATTACGACTTCTAGAGCCTTGTAAGTGGTTACTTTGGAGGCCTTTGAATCTATTTTGAACAACCCTTTCCTTTTGTTTAAACTAAAGGATTACTTGTCTGAGTTTCATAATCTTGTTAGCTTTCCTGTTCCGTTTACAGTTTTCCCCTAATTTCTCTAAGCAATCTAGTGCTTCCTTGACTCTTTGCTTTAATGGATGACAATTTGTTCAATAAGAGTTACTGTTAGTTTTATAGCTTTAGCTATCTCTTGACTAGCGACAATTCCCTATTGAGTGAAAGAATCACAAATCTCACATGGGATTGGGATTCATTGGGTGATGCAGGGTATGGAGGCTATACATACTTATTAGAGCCTCTTTGGTGGGCGGGCATGGTGACAAGTGAGTTAATCATCTTTATAGTTAGATCACATACTCCAATTCTAAACAACATTCTTGTCCAATTCTAATCAAGATTCTGTAACCTCAATTACTAGTGATTGTTGGAGAAGCTGCAAACTTTGTGGCTTACATTTATGCACCGGCTGTACTCGTGACTCCTCTTGGTGCATTAAGCATAATCATCAGGTATGTGTGTGATCACATTGCTCAGTTATGTGTAGTGGCTTCCGATATTCTTACTCTAACCTCTCATTTTTACTCATTCGTAGTGCTGTTTTGGCACATTTTCTGTTAAAAGAAAAACTTAAGAAAATGGGGGTTCTGGGATGTGTGTCTTGCATAGTGGGGTCTGTTGTGATTGTCATACACGCACCTAAGGAGCAGACTCCAAATTCCGTCGAAGAAATATGGAATTTGGCAATTCAGCCAGGTAGCTCTCTCTTAATCTCTCTCTCGCACTCATTATGCCTTCTGTGCGATTGTTTATCTGAGAAATACAATTTTCTTTCTTGTGTATGAAACAGCTTTTCTAGTTTACGTAGCCATAACCATGTCAATTGTTCTTGCTTTAATTCTGCACTTTGAACCTTTGTGCGGCCAAACAAACATTCTGGTTTACATCGGAATTTGTTCGCTAATGGGTGCGCTCACAGTAAGTTGTTTCATCCGAGCATCTTGGATTTACTTTTGAGCTCTATTTCTATTTTCTTGGTGCACTCATAGCTCTAATAACTCTTGTTCTTGGTGTTTTTTTTTTAACAGGTTATGAGCATAAAGGCTATTGGAATTGCAATAAAATTAACAATGGAGGGAGTCAGCCAGATCGGGTATCCACAGACATGGCTTTTTGTCATGGTTGCAGCAACTTGTGTTGTTACACAATTGATTTATCTGAACAAGGTTAGCTCCCTTTTAAGAATTCTTTTGGTATGCCTATATTCTGGCGCCAATAGGTTAGTTTGCGAGTTAGAGTAAAACAGGTATATTGTTGATTCCCGTAAACAATATCTATCAGTATATCTTCAATCAACCGAAAAATCTGACACTTAATATTTTACCTGGCTTCTGCTGCATCTGTAACATTGAAGCTCTCCTTTATTCAGCAGACCCAGGAAATCTAGAATTACGCTTGCCATTGTTGACACTTTTTTCTCGTATTTTCTTTTTGATCCTCTTGTCGATAGTCATACTATACCGGTGCTGACTTGTTGAAAACCTTTGGCCTATGATTGATACTAATATATATCCTTTGGCAGGCGTTGGACACATTCAACGCAGCAATTGTTTCTCCAGTGTACTATGTAATGTTCACAACCCTCACAATTGTTGCTAGTGCAATAATGTTCAAGGTAGCTTTAACTACATAATCCTCTGGGGCAGCAATTTTCTTTCAAAATTGGTTTATAGGAAACACACTTAACATCACATCCGTTACTTCTGACAGGACTGGTCTGGGCAAGACGCAGCCAGCATAGCCTCGGAGATATGTGGATTCATCACTGTGCTCACTGGCACAATGATACTCCATGGCACTAGGGAAGAAGAACAACAAGCTTCTTCAGGT